TGTGGACCATCAGTTTGCTTTAACTGATCACTTTGAGTTAATATTTTAGGGCTTGCTCTATGATTAGCAGACTTCTTTATTTAAAAACATTCCCTTCTACTGACTCCAAGCTTATAAAAAGCTTAACTCTCTCAACCAATTACAAATTAAAGAATCTCTGAATCTACCTATAACCTATAAGCCCCCCCTACTTTGAGGTAGGGGCAGGATGCCTTTTGAGGCCAAACCAGTGTACACCTTCCATGTATCAATTTATAATTTTACCTACAATTCCTGTCTCTTAAACTGCATAAAACAAAATTATAACTTGACTGCTCTACAACCACTTTCTCAGGATCTCTGAGACTGTGTTTCCCAGGGTTGTGGTCACTCATATTCAGCTCAGAAAAAGCTTCTATAAATTATTGTAACATCTGATGTTTTTCTGTTAATAGTATAAAACTGAAATATCATAACAAAAGAGGAAATTACAAGGGTTTTAGAAGCTCTGTGCCATCAATTGGAGACAAAGACCAAAGACTTCTCTTATATCACAGGATATCCTACTTTGTTGAATTTCCTTAGACTTCTCTTTTACAGGATCCTCCTCTTGTTCCAGATTGTTAATAAAGAAATTGCTTCAGGGGATAAGACTTTGGACTATTTCTCTTTCCATAGCTAATCCTATCCTTCTGACCACATAGTTTTATACTATTTATATGATTATCAAGTTTATATTACTAGCCCTGACCTTGGTCCTGTACTGAAGATTCATATACACAATGGGCTCCACAAAATCCTTGCTGGATGTCTAATAGCTTTCTCAAACTTAGTGTATTCATAACTCATTTCTCATATCTTTATCTTTCACCCCTGGTCATTGGCCCCTTCCAGACCTGCTCTTCCCATAGTTTTTCCAGTCTCAGTTAATGCAATTTACTTCCTTCAGTTGCTCAGCTCCAAAATTTCATCATCATCTGTCTCCTCTCTTTCTTCTACACCACCCACCAGCTCTACTTTCAAAATGAATTCAGAATCCAACCACTTCTCATAATGCTACTCATTTTCAAATGCTGTCCTCTCTCACAGAGAGTCCAGAATAGCCTAATGAATCTTAGTATTTATGCTTTTTCCCTTGAGCCCTTCACTTTATTCTAAGCATAGCGAATCACTATGGGAAGCAGAGCTAGGAGGATCACTTGATTGCAGTGATTCAAGATCAGCCTGAGCAAAAGTAAGACCCCATCTCTACTAAAAATAGAAAAATTAGCCATGCCTGTGGCAGGAGCCCATAATCCCAGCTACCTGAGAGGTGGAAGCAGGAGGATCACTTGAACACAGTAATTTTTGGCTGATGTGAACTAGGCTGATGTCATGGCACTCTAGCCTGGGCAACAGAGACTCAGTCTCAAAAAATAGTAAATAAATAAAAACAGAAGCCAGAGCACATCTCTTGTTAAAGAAAAAATTATTTTTACACTGAAGTAAGAAAGACTTCATTCAAGGGTGGTACAGCAGGGGCATTGCAATAAGGGAGAGAGATTTGGATTAACTGCAAATACAACAGGACAAGCTGAGATTTACAGCCAAGGGTCTGGTTGAGGGGGGTCAAGTGGATGGGCAATTACTAAGAAGAGACACCAAGAGCAAGGGAATTCTTGCTAAACTGGCCATACAGCATTCTTGCTAACACAACAAAGGTTAGGGATGATGAACTCTATCAGATATTAAGGGAGATCAGATATCAAGGTTACGGAGATTCTTGCTAAACTAACTTACCAGAATTCTTTGCAAAGATTGGGCTGGGTGGGCCAAAGATAGGATGGAGGACAACTAAAAAGAGAACTCTAGACAAGCCTGACTAAAGGCTCACCATGGAGAGAGTTTTTGTGACTCTCCACTGCTCAGAACATCCTCATCTCATCCAGTGTAAAATTTAGTGACAAAATCCAAAAGGTGCCCACACATTCTGACCCCCTTGTTTCTGGTCCCCTACTACTCTCTCCTATTTCTTTCTGCTTCAGCAACAATATCTGAAACTATCCTTTATAAAAATAATAAAAGGCTATAAGGTTAACTACAAAGGTATAGGCATAATATGTGTGTGTGTGTGTGCATGCGTGTATGTGTGTGTATAGACATAGGTATACACACATACATACATATACCAGCCATTGTTTCCTAGCTTGCTTTCCTATAATTGCTTACTACTCAGGATTCACATAGCTGATAATCATAAAGATTCTTAGCTTTGTTCATTGCTCCCAGAGATAAATTACCCTTGTGAAACCTAAGACTGGTCTTTGAGATACGTTTCAGACCCTGCATTCAGGTAGACTGACAAAACAAGACAAGTGGCCTAAGGAACCAACTCAACTGGTCTTGAAGCTCAGGGAACTGACTTAGCACAAGATGACAATTTCTACTTCCTAATCCTGAGTTTATTCCCAGCCTATCAGCAGATCCGATTCCCTAGCCTGTGGCCCACCAAAACCCTTCCTATCAAATTCTTTGAAATGTGAATTTGAGATATTCCTCCATCTCCTCACATGGCACCTTTCTCTGCTATAACCCCTGTTGTCTCAGTGTATTGGCTTCCTCTTGAGCAGCAGGCAATGAAATCTGGTTGGGCTGTAACACATCCTTACTGTTCTTTCAACAGGCCATGCATGCTCCCACCTCATGGTATTTGGATCTGCTTTTCATTCTTCCAGAGCCTTCCAACAAATACTTAATGTGGCTCCCTCCTCACTCCTCATTTTCTATAGGTCTTTATTTCAACCACTTTCTCAGTGAAATATTTCTTAACCAGTTTGTGAAAATTGTAAAACTTCTTTCTTGAGTTACTGCTCCCATTCTTATTCTTGTTAGCATTTCTAAGGAAGTTTAAATTTTTCCCCTGAAGGTTTGAATTTTGAGTCTTTCATAAAACAAACTGATAAGACAGATTAACAGGACAAAAAGGCATACAAGTTTTATTAACGTGCATATAAGCATAGGGGTCATACAAAATATAAAAACTCAGAGGAAGGCAAGATGGTTGACACTTACCATCTTAAGGTTACAGGAATAATAGGGATTTGGATCATGGCAAAGACAGGTTATGGGAGAGAGAAGAGAAAATACCTGGAGAAAGTGGTCTTGTTTGCAGATGTAACCTCACATGTAGCAAACAGATGGTAACCTGTGGTTAAAGTTTCTCTGTCAGATTTTCAAAGGTGTCAAACTCTCAGTAAATCCTTTCCTAGATCTGGACAAGGGAGGACCTCAGTGAAAGCCAGCCTATTCATATGTTGTTTATTTCACTTTATTTCCTCTACAGATAGAAGTCTCCTCTATAAAAGACAGCTTTGTAGGGCTATTCCTGTCTGCAAGCACTCTAAATAGCCATCTCAAAGAATTATATTTTGGGATGAAATATTTTGGTCTCCTTTACACATCACTGTCTCAAAACATTTTTGTTTTTTTTTTTAATAAAATAGCTCATTAATACTCTTCTTGTTTATAATCTGTCTTTCCTCTCCCCCAGTAGAATTCAGCTGCACGTGTGCACAGGTTTTGCCAATTTTGCTCACTGGTGTATTTCTAGCATCTGGAACAATGCCAGGCACAAGATAGGTGTTCAATATTATATTATTTTTTTTAAGTTGAATGAATGATTGGAATCCTGTAATGAAAATGAATGAACTTCAGATGTATTTAGACGAATTTAAAAGTGTTTGTGTTGAGCAATAATGGAAGGGGAAATATATATATATATATATATATATATAACATTTCGTTCACATAAAGATCAAAAACCTTGTGAAAGTAAAATTTAATGTTTAGGGGCAGATGCATATGGAGTAATCATTTTACAAACTAAACAAGGGAATACTGTAAGCAACTCAGGAAAATGCAGAACCTTGTGGCGAAGGCTTCCAAAAGCCAAGGAAGTTTTGGTATTCATTTTATTATTCTAAAACCCACCTATGGCTCGGCGCCTAAGGCACCAGCCACGTACACCTGAGCTAGCAGGATCGAATCCAGCCCGGGCCCACCAACAACAATGACGGCTGCAACCAAAAAATAGCCGGGCGTTGAGGCGGGTGCCTGTAGTCTCAGCTACTTGGGAGGTGGAGGCAGGAGACTCGCTTGAGCCCCGGAATTGGAGGTTGCTGTGAGCTGTGCTGTCAAAGCACTCTACCCACGGTGATAGCTTGAGGCTCTGTCTCAAAAAACCCCCCAAAACAAAAACCCCACCTATGCATACGTTACCTTTCGTGTATGGTACGCATTAAAATAATTGAAAACAATCATCACGAGTGGTGGAAGCAATTGCACACTGACCCTCCTTAAGGCATCTGAAAGAGTGCTGGGCAGCACGAGCGGGTCACGCCTGGACCGCAGGACTTGGGGAGGCGGAGGCGGGAGCAGCCCTGAGGCGGCCGGCGCCTGAGTCCCAGCCACTTGGCAGGCTGAGGCAGGGACATCGCTTCATCGGCCATTATACCCTAGCCCCGGCGACAAAGGGAGACTCTGAGTCTCAAAAGAGAAAAGATTGTTTTTCCAAATCATCTTGCCTGCTAACGGGCCAATCCCGCCGGCTGACTAACGCAGCATCTCCCGCCGCGGGAGCTCCGGCGCCGGCGCGCTCCCTCGCAGGCAAACAGATAGCCCGGGAATGGTTGTGCATCTCCCAGAAGTCACTGCGTGCACCGCGTGGGCCTCTGGGAAGCATAGCGGCGGGGACCCGAGGCATGCCGGGAATCGTAGTCCTCTGGGGGAGCTCTGGGCTACGAGGACGGCTCGCGGCCTTTGTGGGGGTCTCGTGGCGTGGTGCTTCCTGGCTCCGCGAGAACCGTCCGCCTGGGGCTGAAGCGCTCCCGGTTTCCTCTTCTGGACCGCAGTTGGAGCCCGCGCCTGTAGCCGAGCAAGTGGGGCGGCGTGCGGAGCCTTGGCAGGGTCTGCGCGGCCAGGGGGTCCAGAGGTGCTGCTCTGCGAAGCGGCCTGGGTGGCCCGGCCCTGCGGGGCGTCGCGCTGGTGCCTAGGAGGCCCGCGGGGAGGGAGCGGCCCTGTCAGGTGAGCCAGGGTATGCCGGGACCGCGGGGATGCGTGTCTGTCCGTCCTTTGTGACTGCTTTTCTGAGATTTCTTAGTAAAACGGAAATAATAAAAACAATAGCTAATACCTATAGAGAACGTACCCCTAGGCCTAGCGCCTACAGTGAATTAACTGATTAAACCTCAGATAACAGATGGGTTGGCTGTACACTTCCCATTTTACAGATGAACAAACCGAGGCTCAGAGTGGCCGGGTAATTTGCTGAATACGGACTCAGACCAGGATTGCCTTCCTGCTTCTATTATTTTTCGTCTTGGTGACTTTGGGCAGGTCATGTCTCCCTAGTTCTCAGTCTCCTTAACATATGGATAGTGGAGCAGCAGTATTTATAGAGGTGTTGTAAAGATTAAAAATAATCCACTGGAAGCATTCACGATTTCTTGGCGTGGAGGAGGTGTGTGAGTACTTCCACTGCAGTTTTCCTCCACCAATTTTCCCTCTGCAGGTTCATTCAGAAGCTGCTTCTGGCATCTTCTTCCCTTGCTCTCTGTAGTCAGGTGGGGTTTCCACCCCTCCTACCGGGGGAAGCTCGTTTCCAGCTGTGAATGGGAAACTGTTTCCAGCTGTGATTTAAGAGGGGGAGCAGAGCCACCTGCGCCTTGCGCGGGGGCATTGTGTCAATCATATTACCTTAGGTGGGATATGATAAGGCCAGACCCAGACCTGGAGGGAGAGACTGGCAAAGTTTACAGGTAGTATTATATTCATGGTTCCTTAGGGAGAACACTGCCCTCCAGGGAAGGGCCAAGTCCTGGGGCCCGTTATGAAGCAGAGAGCATGGGTGAATGTAGTCAAACCTCTACTGCAGTTTCTACAGGGAGGAAAGGGCAGGCAAGGCAAGCAAGTTTAGAATAGGCTACCTAAGTTGGAAAGTGGCATCCCCCAAAACTTCATATTCACTGTGACTGCTGGAGTTTGTAGTATAAAGCTGTCTAATGACTCTAGATATCTGTGGGTGAGTCACAATTTGCTTATAGGTCGCTAATGGACCCTAAGATGGAGGTTAGAGCATCAGTGTACAGAATTTAGGGGTCTGGCTAATACAAGGAAAGGATGGAGGTTGGCAGATTGGCTTGGTAAATGCTCTTTCTGCTTGGTTCACATTACTTATGTGGTAGCTGGTGGCCATTATGTGGTAGCTGGTGGCCATTATGGGTGGTAACTTCCTTTCTTCAATCCATCCCTTGACCCCAGAGTTCCTCATGACACCTTTTTTTCTTTCCAGACCTACCCTGACAGGAAAACTAAGAAGGAAGCAATGGCAGTGGATTTGTCTGCTCAGAGGACAGTAAGTGAAGTTTGTTTTTTTTGTTAATTGTCTTCTGGATTCAAAGATGGTAGACACATTTCCATACTTTGTCCAGGTACTTTTCTATCAAAGGAAGACTGTGGATAATCCAGACCTTCAAAGTTTTTCCCAGGATCTGGAGCATATCCAGAGACTGTGGAAGAATCTGCCTCTTTTGTTCCCACAACACTTTTGATGTATCCCAAGTTCAATTTGTGACCAAAATTTGAGTCATCTCTGAACATACATGCTTCTTGCTGTAATAGGTGCTTGGTGAGGAATATGGAGTATTAGGCAGGCCTAGACTTTACAGAGGATATAGTCACATTTGGGGCAAAGACACTCTAAATAAACATTTATTGAGCACTGGCCGTGCACAGGATCCTGTGCAGCACACTGGGAATACAAAGATGAAAAATATTATTTCCTTTCTTGGGAGTTCATGGTACTCATCTAGGAAATATGATTAAATGTCAGGGGAAACATCCAAGAAGCAAGGATATTTTGAGTTGATGTTCAAGGCTGGAACTGATATTGGGGGTTTGGGAAGACTAAAGGCATCCCAAAAGGAGTCAGCTTGGCTTGGGCTTTGATGCTGGCACTGGGAGTTCATGAGCCTTGAACCTTTTTTTTTTAATTTGTGAGGCAGGGTCTTGCTCTGCCCCCAGTCTGAAGCTCAGTGGTACAGTTATAGTTTACTGCTCAACTTGAACTCCTGGGCTCAAACAGTCCTCCTACCTCAGTCTCCCAAGTAGCTGGGAGTATAGACATGTCACCACACCTCCTACCTCAGTCTCCCAAGTAGCTGGGACTATAGACTGTCACCACACCTATTTTTTTTCTTTTTTAAATTTTTTGTACAGACAGGGTTTCACTGTGTTGCCTAGGCTGGTCTTGAACTCCTAGACTCACAGGATACTGCTGCCTCAGACTCCCAAAGTGCTGGGATTACAGGCATGAGCTAAAGTGCCTAGCCCAAATGTCCCTCTTATCTGATTAATCAATGCCTTTATCACCTCTCATCCTTTTTCTCCCCCTACTTAGACTCTCTACCAGCCCCCCCGCCTTTTTTTTGTTGTTGTTCTTTCCCTGTTGAGATTCATTTTCTTTCTTTTTCTTTCTTTTTTTTTTTTTTTTTCCTCAGTTTTTGGCCGGGGCTGGGTTTGAACCCACCACCTCCAGCATATGGGGCCAGTGCCCTACTCCTTTGAGCCACAGGCACCTCCTGAGATTCATTTTCGTTACTTAAACCATCTGATTTCTGAATATTTTCGCTAATCTCTATCCTCAGGTCTAATCTTTTTCATAAAATTCCAGTTTGTCATTCCCAATCCTTTATTAAATGTTTCCATGTGGAAGTCCCATCTTTCCCCCAACATTGGCTCCCTTTCCTCGTCTCCTTTGTGCAGATTTTCTACCATACCCTGAAACCTCTGTTTTTCACTGACTGCATTCCAAAAAGTAGTGATAGCCCATAGGCTAAAAATATGGACTCTAGAATGTGAGTGACTTCATGACTTCAGATCCAAGGTAGGGATGTGACTGTGATCAAGTTATTTTATCTCTCTATGCCTTGTTTTCTTAAGTGGGGTTAATAATACAGAGGGTTCCAAAAAAGTGTATACACATTTTAAACAAGGAAAAAACTGTATTAAATTTGTAATACTCAATATTTCTTCTTCTTTTTTTTTTTTTAGAGACAGAGTCTCACTTTATTGCCCTCGGTAGAATGCGGTGGCATCACAGCTCACAGCAACCTCCAACTCCTGGCTTAGGCAATTCTCCTGCCTCAGCCTCCCAAGTAGCTGGGACTACAGGTGCCTGCCACAACACCTGGCTATTTTTTGTTGCTATTTGGCCAGGCCAGTTTCGAACCTGCCACACACACACCCTCAACCCCCCACCCCCATAATATGGGGCCGGTGCCCTACTCACTGAGCCACAGGTGCTGCCTATCAATACAACAATAACAAAAGATGAGTACAAGTCACATTGAGCACCTCTTACAATTGCAGACGGAAGTCAAACATGACTTGAATATTACAAATTTAATATAGTTTTTTCCTTTCTTAAAATGTGTAAACATTTTTTTGGCACACTATACATCCCTCATTGAGTTGGTGTGAACATTGATATCAGTAATAACTACAGACATTTACTGTGTGCCAGGTGTTGTGTGTGTATTACTATCTACAAAAATATTTATTCTTTTTATGTATTAACTCATTTAATTCTTATAAGGCAGTGGTTCTCAATCTTCTGATGCCACAACCTTTTAGTATAGTTCCTCATGTTGTGGTGACCCCCAACCGTAAAATTATTTTCACTGCTACTTCATAACTGTAATTTTGCTACTGTTATGAATTGTAATGTAAATATCTGATATGCAGGATTTATTTAGACAACCCCTGTGAAAAGGTCATTTGACCCCCAAAGGGGTGGCGACCCACAGGTTAAGAATCACTGTCATAAGAGGACTAAATTTTACAGATGAGGGAACTGAGCCATAGAGAAGCAAGTAACTTGGTCAAAGTCACACAGTTGGCTTTTGAATCCAGACAAGACAGCCTATATACTGCTACCATTATGGTCTGAGAAAGCAGAGAATAGTACATATACTTAATAAAATCTCAATAAATGCTGGCTGTTACTATTATTAATATTAGCAGCAACAGTATTTTAGGACATACTAAATTTGTTATGCATCACTCACTAGGCTGGACTTTACTTTGATTCCTTAATTACAAGGAAATAGACATCTCAGGAAAGCAAAATAAAAGAGCAGCAAAATGGAGTATGAAGCAACACCCAGCTATTATCTGGGCTACCCTCTGCCCAAAGGTAGGGCTCTACGCTATCTGAGATTTCCTGCCTCATTTAAACTGAGGGCATATATACACAAGATTTTGTTGGCAACTTGGAGTCAGTCTTTTGTGGACAGCTAATTCAATATCTAAACCTTTCAGTTAAGTCTCTTGAAGATTTAGGGTGATCCAATTACAGGTCTTATAATACCCCATTTGAGTCAGTTCAATAGTAATATCCAATCTCAACTTCTGTCCTAATTAAGAGTACTGAGGGATAAAGTTCTCTCTTCTGCCTGTTAGAAAAATTAAGTAGCAAAAAAAACATAATATGTAGGGGGCTCTTTGTACATTTTATAACTGTTGCTTATCTATTTCCATTTTATTATTTATCATCTAGGGAAGGGCACATGGAACTTGGTACTGATTGCCTAATGGTCATGGTTTCTTAATTACATTGTTTTTTGCAGTAATTCAGTACCTTCTTTAGGTATTATCCATATTGTTAAAAAAAAAAATCTTAAATTTTTTACAGTTTTAGGTTAAAGAAAAATTGCATGATTACCATATACTTGCAGCCGCTTTTCCCCTATTAACATCTTACATTAGTGTGGTCCATTTGTTACAATCAATAAAGCAGTATTCATGCATTATTATTAACTCAAGTCTACATTCACATTTCTTTAGTTTTTACCTAATGTACTCTTCCTCGATCCCATCCAGGATATCATGTTACATTGAGTTTTCATGTCTCCTCAGGTTCCTGTTGGCTGTGACACTGACAGACTTTCCTTGCTGATAATGACCATAATAGTTTTGAGGAGAATTCTTTAGGTATTTTCTAGGCCACCTCACTGTATTGTAATTTTTCTGATGTTTTTCTCTTTATTAAGCTAGGATTATGGGTCTCGAGGGGGAAAACTACAGAGGTAAAGTGACATCCTACCAAAATTGCATACTAATTAGATGATTTATCACTGTTGATGTTGACCTTGATCACCTAAGGTCCTGTTTATCACGTTTCTCCATTATAAAGTTTTACTTTCTTTTTCTATCCCATGTGGTACTCTTTGGATAGAAGACAATATGTACAGCCCACATTTAAGGAGTGGTGAGTTATTCCTTAAGGGAATCTACATAAAATATTTGGAAATCTGCATGGAAGATTGTCACTTCTTCCTATTTATTTTATTTTTTTTCCATTTTTTGGCCAGGGCTGGGTTTGAACCCACCACCTCCAGTATATGGGGCCAGCACCCTACTCCTTTGAGCCATAGGCACCACCTACTTCTTCCTATTTATTTATTCAGGCATTTATTTATATTAGTATAGCAAACAGGGACCTTTCTACTGTCTCTACATGTCAGTTATGCTTCTTTTTTAAAAAACATTTTTAGTTGTTACTCTGTACTTTTTAATATAAACATACAACTAATATAAGTCCACCTTCAGATAACATACTGTTTCATGGGTAGTACAAGTACTTTATAAGAAAGAATCCCCAGTACTTTCCACTCATTTCTGTGACATTGCTGTCATTCATTTCACTCATCTATATGCTGTAATCACCTAGTACATTGTTATTATTAATGTAAGCAGTTATCTTTAGATCAAGAATATGAAAAATACAGTATTCTATTTTATCATGTATTCCTTCTCTTTCATTCCTCTTATCTTTATGTAGGTTCAAGTTTCTGACCTGTATTATTTTCCTTCTCCCTGAAGAGCATCTATCATTCATTAGAAGGAAGGTCTGTTGGTAATGAATTCTCTTGGTTTTTGTCTGATAAAGTCTCTAATTCTCATCCCTTTTGAAGAATAATTTCACAAACTATAGAATTCTAGGTTGGCAATTTTTTTATCTAAAACTTTATTTTTTTTTTTTTTAGTCTTTTAATTTTTATTACTCAAAAGAGCTCCATTTTCTCACTTACCTTTCTGACTCTACGCTTGTGCCTTCAACACTTTCACAATGATTTTCTGCTCCTTTATAAGGAAAGCATGCTTGATGCTGTCACACACACATAGAACCACCGTATGCCCTGCTGACGTGTTTTCTTTGTTTTGTTTTAGACAGCCTCATAAGAACTTTAGGTCTCACAGCACGAACCCCTCGAAGTCTGCCAGGGCACACACCACATGCAGATTTTGGTGCATTCTCAGCCTTCTTGGTATAAAGGTAAACAATTTTATTAC